AACAACTTTTGTTTGAAACTTTTCTTTCTATTTTTAAAAGCAAGCGAATTATTCAGATGGCCTGTTTTAGGTGTCACCCTGTATAACAGTATTAAACAAAATATCTTTTAATCATAATGTGAATACAACAAATAGGAAATAAAGGCCCTAGACGTTGAAAATAGATCTTTTGAGTCTATTTTAGATGTATAATTCGCGGTAGATTTTGAGACGGAATTTTATTAATACTTTTGATACTTCTATGGGAATTTTCTATACAAAGGCTATGCTTTTCGCGGATTATCATGTCCAAATCCGTCACTAGAATGCCAACATTTCGTGAACATTGTAGTTCACTTCATCAAGGCGAGGAGCAGTCTGATACTGAGCTGTTCCTCCAAATGATTCCCCTTATACGAGTATACGCTGTTTAGAGATAGAAAAAGAGGGGGGGAGAGGGAGAGAATGGAGGTAAGAGAGAAAATATCTTTATACTAATTGTACAGAATTCTTTATAATTTTATGCATCGTGTAATACATTTGAATAATCAGAATAAATTTATAAAGTTCTATTTTTATAAATATTAAAGATGTATCAAATATGCGCAGGTATAAGTATTTCTGATTGGATAATATTGTATATGACGTAATGAAAATTGAAAATCTATACAAATCTATAAAGCCTGTTCTACAACAGAGTCGCAAGTCGTAACCCGTAAGAAATTGGCTAATCACAGTTGAATATGACAAAAATAATCAACTATGATTGGTTAATTTCTTATGGTTTATAACTTGCGACTCTATTGTAGAACAGGTATAAGCGTTGTGAATACAGTCATGTTCAATCAAATCAATCAAATTATAGATCTTATATATGAATGCAGCTTTCTCTTTAGATAAAAATAGACAGTAAATGCATTGTATCTTCTAGCCTTTGCTGTACCAAATACGCGCATGCTCGAACTTCGATTAGGTTATAATTGATGAAGTCTTGCAAAAATGATAAGACAAATGTGTATATTGGAGGAAGAATAATTGGCAATATTTCCTTTCATTCGTAAATAGTTAATGAACGATTATGATAACGCTTTTTAGGCTTTTACTGGTATTATTTTCAAAGATACCAGAAGATTTGGTTTATATGGTGGTTGCGAGGAGGCTCACTAGCTAAAATGGTGTCTCACTGATTACATGATTTCATTTTTATTTCATATGATTCATCTAATTACAAATGATTCCATTTGATTACACAATGATTTTTCGCGATTGCATATGTAATTATCACATTTTTAATGATTACAAATGATTTTATTTAATTAGAAACACTAATAACGCAGGGATAACTACCTAATATAATCGTAGGACAGTGTATTTGTCAAACAACTAAAACTGATCAGTTGAATTTTAACTTTGGGACTGAGCAGATAGTTCCTCGATACATAGGAATTTTAATAATTTGACAAAAGTGCACAACACTGTTTTTAATCAATTTCTCTTTTATATTTATATTTTATAATTCATTGACTGACTATGTCATATATATATATATACATATATATATATCAACATCTTGACAAAAATTCACGCGAATTATGTCCACGGTCACATCATTGTGGGATTTCAGTCATTTTACTATCCAACTTGATAACTGATGAGATTGGCTCTCTAATGGAGGATTGATTGCCGCACAATGAATATGACTTTATAAACTTCACTTCTTGTAATAAATCTGCATGGTTTTATTGTAAGAATTTCTACTTACTGAAGAAGGCTAGAATACTAGCCGAAACATGTACACGCGTATGAAATCTATTTTCTGTGTGATTATGTATTATTAAGATAAAACTTTTTTATATATAAAGCTGAATTACGCACCGTGCCAATTCCCAATTGCCCGTTTGTCATTTGTTTATATTTTTGAATTTGTTATCTTAGGAATTTTTATATAGTTACCTTAAAAGATTTGATATCGACAATGGGCACTAAGTTAAATTCCATTACCAAATTAAATAAAGAATATAATCCAAGTGGTACTATCTTTAATTTTATTTTCTTTTATTAATCCAGGTATGTCATATCGTACGAGGCGTTTTGCGACATATTTTTAATTTTCCAAACCGAATTTTCTAAGTTTTTAGAGGCAAAAAATTTTGTTAGTATTTTTTTGAATGTTTAGAATAACGCGCTTTCTACAAGAGTTCTACCAAAAAGTATTAAATTTAAATTGCTCTTTCTTGAAATAGAAAAGTTATGATTATTTTTGTATCGCGAAAACATAAAGTTGGCATCTTGAAATCTTTATTTTTTTTATATTTAATCAGAACGCTTTTCAAAACGTATCAGAAACTTTGAAAATGAGATGACAACTTCATAGATATTCGATGCTACTGGCCAAAGTAACATGTAACAGTATACAGACGTATGTATGTATGTATGTAATGTATACGTGCATTGGTGTCTGTCCTGCTCCACATATGTGCATGAATTCTATACATATTTTTCAAAGCCATTTGAGTCTAGTGTACAGTATAGAAAGTTATGATAAATGTGTACAGTATAGAAAGTTATAGAGAGTTATGATAAATTTTCTCCAACACTCTTCGCATTATATTCCAACTTACACGTCGATATTAGACTAATATTGGACTAACCTTTGGCAAGCCTTATAGAAGTCTCGCTTGTTGGGTTTTGGTTGAAAGGATCAAAATTATGATGGAGATTACAATCAAGATTCAAATAATAAATGTCTTACTTTTTTAGAGAAGAAGAGGCGTGTTTACGACCAATATGGCAAGGACGGCCTTCAAATGCCCGGAGGCAAACGACGCCACGGAGATGATTTTGATTCGCACTTTGGCGGCGCGTTTGTTTTTAGAGATCCTGAAGAAGTATTTAGAGAATTTTTCGATGGAATTCCATTCGAAGATTTGTTTGCCGGTAAGATACAAATACATCTAGATTCAGAAAATACGATTAAGTTGTTAAAATGTTGCAAACACCGAATTTTGCAGGTTTTCATGGTGGAGGTTCTCGGAGAGGCGTCGGAGGAAGACATGACCATTCAACCAGTAATAGCCTGAGTACTTCTTTCTTCGGGCCCTTTGGATTTGGCTTTCGTTTGCCGTTTAATGATTTAATGGAGAACGCTGGTGCTGCAGGAAACTTTACTTCTTTTGGTACTTTCACTAGTTTCGACGGAACGAGCGGTGGCAGTGCTGTAAAACGTACCAGCACCTCAACTCGTTTCATCGATGGAAAAAAAATTACGACCAAAAAGTAAAAAGAATCTCACATACATTACGCATGCACACGCGCACGCACGCACGCACGCACGCACGCACGCACCATCCCTACTATATGTTCTATTATGTAAGATTCAACAGCATTGTATCTCTTCTAATTATATCTTTTGTTTCTCATGTCTTTTACAGAGTCTACGAAAATGGAAAAGAAACCATAATGTCTTATGAAAATGATATTCTGAAATCAAAGACAGTGAACGGCGTACCACAATCAATAACGTACAGTTAAAACACATCTCACTCGCACGATCTCTCCTTGGCAATTGAGAAATTCCTGTCATCACGATTTAAACATCTGTAAACAAGTATCTAGTATCCGCGTTGGTATCTCTCGACACAGTTCCCCTCGCAGAGTCATTTCCATTGAAAATGTAACATCAGTCGACATGCTTCTTAACGCGCGTTATTCGCCGAAATTGACAATCAATAATAGTGAGATAGGCTCTCTAAGCCCGAGTGATCGGAGCGTTAATAATTGGAATTTACATAAAAACAAGAGCGAATTACTTTTTACACGAGATTTAGTTTTCTGTCATCTCGTTTGTTTGTATGTTAGGTTCGACGATGCATCGACGAGTCATCAAGTCTGCGAAAACGTCAACGATAACACGATGGATAACCACAACTCAAATACGACCTATGGCGACTATGTAAAAGCTAGCAGAATAAAGACGCGTCATCATCCGCACATGAATAAGAAGCACGATAGAAATAAAAGGAAATAAATTTCTTCGCTCTTGTCTCAAGTTCCTCATGTATTCAAGTCGACGAGTGTGCGCTTCTGATATACTCGACTTAAGATTTAATTCCGGATAAATTTTAGTTTTCAATACTATACTACTATTCTCCATTCATTATTACTTAATAAAAATTCATAAATTGATGAACAAAAAATGTTAATCTGTGTAAGAATTAAAAGAAAAAGTAATATGTAATGATTACACGACTGGCTTGACATATCTACGCGGTTCGTATAATAAAGTTCATTAAAAAAAAGCTATTTGAATTTAATTAGTTATTCGCGATAGTATATCTCTTGCGCCGCAAATTGAGACTAATTTACAAGTAACATCTTTCTTGTCTCTACCTAGTTGTATGATGTAACCGATGCCATTCGCTAACTTAAACTTCGATTATCGCTAGGTTACAAAACTGATGCAAAATCTTATAATTTCTCAGGTAAATATTTACGAAAGTCAGCAGCTTCAAAAATCAATGACCTTGACATATTTTCAAGGTCATGATCCTGAGTAACCTTCAACAAATTTTAGTCGTTGCTCGTTGTTTGTTAAAAAGTGTGACCACAAAATGAATGTTACAAGAATTACCATTTTTTAAATTTACGTACACTTTACAACACAAAGTGAGAGCCACCCCGTACTAAAATATGAATTGGGGTTATATATTTTGGAGGCACTGCCGTTCTCCGTAGGATAGCCCTTGTTTATACGTGGTGGTACACACTGCTTCCACGCGTACATTTTACAACGCGAAGAGGGAGCCACCCCATAGCAAATTGTGGATTAGATTACTTTCATTATTTTTTTATTAATAACTTTTTATAACGAACAACGAGCAATGGCTAAAATTTGTTGGAAGTCACAGGGTCATGATCTTGACAACATATGTGAAGATCATTTTTTAAGATGCTGACTTGTAAATATTTACCATTTCTCAAAATAATAAAAATATCTATAAATATAAATGTATCTCGTATCGATTTATAGCATAATTTATTTTTATTGCTGTGTATTTTTATTGTCGTTGGCTCTAGCGTTATTTACTGATTTAAGTTTTAGCTAAATACGCGCTAAATGTGCACCGTTGAGAAATTGTTAGAAAAATCGTTTTTGATCATATTTCCTTCGATTATAGCTATTTACACATGTGTATATAATAAGAAAAAAGATGTTATAGAAATACATTATTAATATACACTAATTATCTTGAATATAAAGCAAATTGTGAAATTTCAGTATGGGACTACTGTAAACGGCAGAGATCAAATTATTATTTTATAAAAGGAAATCAATTACGACAGATATATGCGACAAATAGTTTTATGCTAATTGCAATAATCATTGGATACAAAATTCATATAAATCAGTGGAATTAAATAAAATCGGTATTTACTATATCTATACTGATCATTTGCATATGTGCTTGTAAAATTTTGGGTGTTTCTTCAATAGTGAATAAGTTTTATAATTGATCGAATGAAATCACAAGTGTTCGAATATTCATGTGTACGTATACGCTTGATAATGTGAAAACCCACTACTTCTTTCCGATCGAAGCGATTAATGCTTCCACTTTAGTGATGTATTGCTCTTTCGCCGTTTCTTGTCCCATACTTTTTTTACCGTTCCAAGCATCCCATTTAGCTTTTCCTTTGAAATCCAACATACCCGGTCTCTCTAAAAAAAGTTTACGTGAATCATGACAATTGTACATAAGTGTACGCAACAAATAATAGACTGCATGCAAAAAGTTGTGAGAACGTACCTGTATTACAGTCGCCAATGGTAGATTGCTTGTACAATGCATATAATTCGAGTAAATCTTCATCTTCTGGTTGCGCAGCCAATTTCTTTACCACTGTAGCCGCATCATTAAATCTCTAAGAATAGAAACGTGTTTTTACGATTATTTTATAATAAGGAATTATTTTTCGCGTTATTTGACAAATTGTTATGAAATTTAATAGAAATCATAAGCAATTTGGGCTATTTAATTCATCAATACAAAGTAACATATACCAAAGATATAATTTGATATAAATTCTAAGTAAAATATTTTAATAAATTTTTGTTTTTATTTATATCATAATTAGGATTATCAATATTCCATTAACAATTAAATTAAGTATTTCAGTGAATTGATTAAATTATTAGCACTCTATATTTTTTTCTCGATTTTTGAGTCACTTTATCCTTTTTCGCGCGTTGATTTTTTTCCGTTCCGTTTCTCATTGCAGCAAATGTATTTATTTCAATGAAATTTACGTTAGAAGCAGTATTGTAGCGTATGTAGAATATATAATATGTATTAGAATTGTAACTACGATTTGGATCTAATATTCGAATTCTTTTCATTGAATTATTACTCAAATTTGGATGTCCGAATTTGGGTGTTCGAATAATTCGAATCTAATATGCGAAAAGATCCTATAATTATAAGAAATAAAACGAAAGACCAATTGTTAAGTTAGCTAGAATTTATTTAATCATTTTTCGCTTACTGAAATTATTCTTTACGTGGAAATCGTGGATATCGTTATAATTAAAAAAAAAAAAAGACTATCACTTGAATTAATTTCTGTAAATTGGTTGGTTTTTTTTATCGAAAATGTTATCAGCAAACACAAATATATAAATATTATATTACTTCCATATAACGGAATATAACAGGATAATATAACGTGTACACATAATATCTACGTCCACGTTAGTTGTAATTTTCCATTCACGAATCATTGCAGCTATATAATATAAATATAATGTAACTTAATATAAATACATGTAACTTATAATATTATAGTCATATAACAGTTTTATAATTTGGTGCGTTATTATAAAACTAGAATGTACTTGTTACGTTGCTATACATTATCCTAATTTAATTTAATTCCCTTTGTACACCCTATTTCTAGAAAAGAATTTGGAATTAATTCTAAAGTGAAAACAAACAGGTTGCTCTCGCTTAGAATTAATCTAAAGACCTTTTCTGGGATTAGTACGTGCAAAATACATTCCCTGAAAATTGTTTTTGCATGGGTATAAAAGACATGTAATAATTAATTTTAATTCATTTATTTGTAAACTTCATATAGTTTGCACATAAATACATATATATTTATAAATATCATTACTGAATATTCAGAATATTTAATCGCGTAATATTCATATATTATACTTTTATGGTAATTGTTGAGTTCAACTTTCTCACTTCCGATAAAATTAGGTTTGTTCGATGCGTTTTTGCATGAAATGAACGAATCTCGTAGAAAAACGTGTCGCTTCGCGACACTGAGATATTAATTGTTAAAGTTGACAGATATTCAGGTTAGGAAATCTATCACATCATTGGCGTTAAAGATTACACAAATTCTTTGTTTTATAAACATAAATTCTCTTCTTTAAAAACAAGTTCTCTGCTTTAAAAATACAAATTTCTTCTCTAAAAACATATTTTTTTATATAATATGTTTTTTACAGTAGAAAATTTGTTTTTAAAGTAGAGAATTTGTTTTAGAACCGAAAAGGTAATTATTTAGAATAGGGGTTCCCCCTCCCCTCCTTCTAGAATCTTCATAAAAATGTAATCATTCGATCCGTTTTTTCATTCAAAATGGAAAGAATTTGGCAAAAATCGCGGCAGTCGGCCTCATAAATCGAATTATTAAGCGTTAAAGTTTGAGACTTTAGAGGTTAAGATATCTGTTATCCTGATTCGCTTAATAACTCGATTCACGACCGTTGCGTTTTTCTGCTTTTAAAGCAGTGAAGTTGCTTTTTTTCGCCAGATTCTTTCGTTTTGAATGAAAACACGTCGAATGAGTACATTTTTATTAAGATTCTGTCTGGAGGCGGGGGGGGGGGGGGGG